ATGAGGTCCGCAGTATGTATGCAGCAGGACCACATTCTTTTTCTGGGAGTGAGGCAACAGAGGTACGCTAGATTGGTGGAGTGGGCGCAGGCTCAGCATGTCCCTCCTAATGCAATAACTGCTGAAGTTAGACTGTAGTGACATGGGACACCACATTTTCAGAGTACTTTTACTGCACACAGTGAAAGCTCATCACTAATTTGGGGAACTACCTTACTGTTAAGCTGGCCAAACATGTATAGATTTTCGTTTCAAGAATAGTAGTTTGATTTTCTAATCGTTAGTGGGGTCAAATCGATGTTTGTTTTCAACCACGGTGACGGGAAAAATTCAAAGGGGCAGGAAGGAAAACTTTTCGATCAAACAATTTTTCAGCCAGTATATGAGGGGATCATTCAGAAATTACATTCATTTTAAAACGCGAATTTTAAATGCAAAAAGAAAATTCTCTAACGACATTCGTCCATTCAAAGAGTTTTCGCACAACTTTTCTTATGAATATTCTCGAATGAAAATCTACACAGCTTTAGATTTTTCCCATGACCGCAGTCTTCGCCTGCTGCCGGGCATTGATGAGCATTCACCATGTGAAAAGGTACCCCCGCATGCAGGGCAAATATGACCCTGACTGCATGCTTATGAGATGATCAGGGGCAGACTGACAACTCATGGGGCCCCCGGGCAATAGGGGATCATGGGGCTCGTGTCCTTGCCCAAACTCAAAAAAAGTCTAAAAAAAAAAATTAAAAAATAAAAAAATAAAGTACCAGGGGCATCTCATGGGGCCCCCTACTGACCCCCGGGCAGTGCCCGAGTTTCCAAATGGTCAGTTTGCCCCTGGGAGATCATCAACTTTTTTTTTTATAAATTAATTTTATAAAGAACACAGTAGAAAAACATGGTCCTATAAAGACGGCATAGGCATATAAGAGCACATAAGCCTCAGACAAAGCTGTAATAATCAAAAGAATATAGCAGTATAACAAACCATGTACTCTGTCCACTTTTAGGCAATCTCTGACAACCCATCTCTTCAGGGAAGCCTGTCATGTTTCACATGACTGCTATATGCCTTTAAGTGTTCTCTATATTTTGTCTCTGCTCCTCCCTTTCCTCTGGTTAGTTCTTGCTGTATAGATAGCCCTCCCCTTTTCCCAGAAGTGCATTGCAGCTTCTAGCCTCATATCATGAAGCAGAGCATATTATGATCTTTTGACCCATGAGATGTTCATTGTTGTAGATCTTGTGAAGTTTATTCCATAAACTGAGAGATTCTTACAAGATATCATCCTCAATTGAGTCACTGACTGTGGTATCTAATGGAGATTGGAGTTAACGCTATCTCATTACAACTGTAAGTTACAGAGATCACACTATCAATGCTTAGCTGAAGGTGGGATAGGCTTTGTGCTGTCTCTCCAATCTTCTATTCCTCCCATCAGTTCATCCTACACAGTTATTACCTTTTGTACCACCAGCCCTTCCTCTTAGATTGTAAGCTCCAAGAAGCATGGCCCTAACCCTCTTCTATTGAACTGTATTGTCTCCCTTTATATTGTAAAGCGCTGAGCAAACTGTTGGCGCTATACAATTCCTGTATAATAATAATGTACACATGCTAGGAAGCTATACCTCAAATTCATGATGAGCAAAAATACACTTGAGAGAACAAAGCAATATCTGAAAATGTCAAATTGTGCTAAAAGTAACAAGGTGTCACAAGTGAACACTGCCCTACACAAACTCTTGTAGAGAAAGGTATAAAGTCAAAACCAATTATGTATTGAGCCTCTCTTTCTCAGAACCTAGGTAGGAATAAAGGATGAGCTTATAGGTGAGGATGCAAAGTCCAAAGAAGACAGCAAAGGGAAAAAAAAAAAAAAAAAAAAAAACCCACACGAGAATATCAGTGCAAAGTATATTGTTCAGATAAACCCAAGTGGCCACAATGGCCAACTTTTTAAAGTCACCTTTTACAACCCATTGAAGATATGTACCTGCTTTGGAGAGGATGTTTCTCTACAGTCTCTGTAGTAACTACGTCCTTTTTCTTTCTCCTTTTTTCATTGTCTCTTCGGGGAAGACCTTTAAATGTTGACTATAGAAGGAGGAAATTGCTCATCAAAACACATCATATACCAACTGCAAGATCAAAGGTTATTGGAAGTCAAGTTCAATATGAACACAGAGCAGTCCACTTACATTTGAAATGTAGAAGAAATATAGCACTGGATAGGAATATAGAGCTAGATGTAAAAGTTATTTCCAAGATAGTTTATTTTGCTTATCAGCTAGAAATGTGCGGTTCGTTTTGAATTTCTAATTTTTTCGTTATTCAGAGATTCGAATGTATTCGAGTTCCGAATTAAAAACAAAAAAAAAAAACTTGGCTGAAATTCGATTCAAAAACAAAAATCGAACAAACATTCAAAAACAAATTTAAAGTGGAGCTCCACCCAAAAGAGGAATTCCGTTTTTAAAGACAAGTCCCCCGCTCAGGATTGGCACCTTTGGGGAGCGGGGGGTGGTAACAGGTACCCTAAATTGACAGGTACCCGCTCCCACTGCAATTGCCTAAGGCGATTGGAAGTGGAAGTTGTCCTCCCTCCATAGTCTTCTGGGACACATGACAGGTCCCAGAAGACTACGATACCATTCAGAAAGCAAAGCGATACTTGCACGTGCGCACTTGGCTGTGAGGCTGCAAGATGTCACAGCTGGGTGCCCACACTGACTGGCTGCGGAGGGGACACTGTGGGATTGAGGGACAGATAAGTATCCATTTTTTAAAAAGGTCAGCAACTACAGTTTTTCTGCCTGCCCCTTGACAGATTTTGAAAAGATATCAATTGAATTCAAATTTTTTTTCCCTTGATTTAAGCTGGCCATACACGTGTAGATTTTCGGCAGAGAATATTCAGAAGAAAAGTCATACAAAAATTTTTTACACATTTGATGAATGGAAGAATGTCGTTCGAAAAAAACTGTATATTGCTTTAGACATTCAATTTTACCCACTTCAATACCAGACACTTTTACCCCTTTCCTGCCCAGGCCAATTTTCAAGTTTCAGCATGCTCACACTTTGAATGACAATTGCACGGCCTTCAATACTGTACCCTAACTACATTTTTATCGTTTTGTTCACACAACTAGAGCTTTATTTTGGTGGTATTTAATCACCACTGGGGTTTTTATTTTTTTCCTAAATTAAAAAAAAAAAAAAAAAAAAAAAAAAAAAAAAAAAAAAAAAAAAAAAAAAAAAAAAAGTTATGGCTTCTGTTATAAAAATTTGCAAATAAATAGCCTGTAGGAAAGTTATAGAGTTCACAAACTATGGGATATATCTGAAAATTGATCAATCCTGAAGTACTGACAGCCAATCTAATTTGTTGAGGCCCAAAAATGTCAGGACAGTACAGATATCCCCCAAATAACCACTTTTTGCAAAGTAGACAGTCTGACGTATTTCATAAGAGGCATGGAGAGTTTTTGTAAGTTGTAATTTTTTTGGAAAATGAATTTAAAAAAAATTATTTTCACAATTTTTTTTTCTTTACATACTGTCACCAGTGCAGTACAGCATCATCATATAACTGGTGTGGCGGTGATCAGGGACACGGACTGGTGACAGTATGAAAAAATAAATAAATTTTGTTCAATTGTTTTTTTATTTTAATTAATTTTGTATTACTTTTTTCAAGATTTTCTTTTCATATTAAACTATGACCAAAGTAGTATTATGTTACCATAGTAACATTGTACTACTTTGGGGAAACACACACACACACACACACACACACACACACACACACACACACACATACACTAGGAAGTGCACCTATTGTTGGGTCATACAGCACTTTACTTTTTTCAGGTTACACATGACATATGGCAAATTGACATCCCCTCTCTTTCTATAGCTACCCACACACAGTAAGTAATTATGGGGTGGTTCTACCCTCCAGCCAAAAAAAAAAAAAAATTCATATACAGCATTTATGTACAAAAGCTTAGGAGCGTTTTAATGGTTTTTTTTTTTCTCTGCTAGAAAGCTCCAATCAAAAAACACAAAGGGTTTTTTTTGCCTCTAATCGTCCTAATGTGCATGGACACATGAACAAATTGAGCTGCTTCTACAGGCAAAATGCAGAACTCCTGTAGAAACAGCATTTTTTAAACCATGTGCATGGAGCCTTAATGGTTGTGTCCTGTGTGATGGTTCAGCAGCTGACCATTCCATCTGCGGTATGGGACAGCATGGTGTATGATTCAGCCCATCACACAGCTTTTATATATTTTTGTTTCAAACAAACTTTATTTGCACGTTGCTGTACGGCAGCGTGATGGGCTGCTGTACAGTTCCATGCTATTCGGTATGATGCGCTGCAGGAAAAATGCAGCTCCGGCTGTGTTGTAGTGAGACTGGGACACATATGAAACAATTGTTTTCTATGTGTCCTTTGCGTTGATAGGAGTTTACAATGCATTAAAATGTCTCTCACCCCACTATGTGTGAATTTGTCCCTAGGACAGGCCCTTAAATGAAGAAAACAAAAATCCCTCATACTACCAAAAGGGTGCCAAATCAGCATTTAAAAATGGAAGAAAAAGGGTGTGTTTAACAACCATCGGATCAGATAGCAATCGGGTGTAAAAAGACAGCCTTTCCGTTTACATCCAGCCATCCATAGAGGAGAGCAGGCAGTGTCCATGTCATCTGTTTGTCCACCTGCTCAGTGGGAATCAGCAGACAGATTCCCTCCTGATCAAACAGATAGCAGGAGGATTCTGCCGCATGTGACAGGGGCCTTAACTAGTTGCCGACCGCAGATAGCCGAATGACGGCTACACTGCGGCCAGCCAGTTCTGAGTGGACATCATATGACGTCCTCCCAGGGGGTGCGCACCCGGCGATCTCCGTGATCGCTGTGTCCTACGGATTATCAGTGCCCTGATGATCGGTGCCCAGCAGTGCCACCCGCAAGTTCCGCCCACCTGTGCCCAGCAGTGCGCCCACTAGCTCCGCCCACCTGTGCCCAGCAGTGCACCCACCTGTGCCACTCTACAGTGCCACCCACCTGTGCCCAGCCACCTGTGCCGCCCACCAGTGCCCGCCCACCAGTGCCCAGGGTGTTGTGCCAGTCAGTGCTGCCAGTCAGTGCCGTCTATCAGTACCCATCATCAGTGTCACCTATCAGTGCCGCCTCTCCGTGCCACCTCATTAGTACTGCCTATCAGTGCCCTTTAGTGCTGCCTATCAGTGCCGCCTATCAGTGCCCATCAGTGCTGCCTCATCAACGCACATCAGTGAAGGAGAAAAAATACCTGTTTAAAAATGTTATAATAGAAACAAAGAAACTTTTTTTTTTTTTCAAATTTTTTGCACTTTTTTTATTTATAGCGCAAAAAGTAAAGCGCCCAGTGGCGATTAAATACCACCAAAAGAAAGCTCTATTTGTGAGAAAAAAATGATCAAAATTTCATATGGGTACAATGTTGCATGACCGCACAATAATCAAAGTGCGGCAGTGCTGAAAGCTGAAAATTGGCCTGGTAAATAAGGGGGTATAAGTGCCCGGGTAGGCAAGTGGTTAATGAGCTATGTAATTGAGGGGTAGGAGGACAAATCTTTATTGCTTAGGATAACAGCACGCATGGTGGGTGTACTAATGCACATACACAACTCCCCGCTGTGCGCACACGTCAGTGGCAATGGTCATGCATGTCACAGTCCTGTGCAGACGCCTGGATGGGCACCACCTCCTCAATGCTGAGGCACAAAACAGCCAACCCAGGGGCAGCAGGAGGAATTGGGGAAGAGATATCTATAAATGAAGCAGCTGGAGATGGGGCCACTTGCCTGCTCCTTTCCCTGACAGACTGGGGACAGATTACTTGTCCTGCTCTGCTGAATAATGTGGTGTGTTCATTGTGATTTTTCAGGTTTACAACCACTTTACCCTGGTTCACACTGATGCGGTGCAGAATGCGCAGCATTTTCTGTGCGAATTCCGCACCGCATCAGAATCATACCCCGTTCATGCAAACCGCTGCAGGTGGGTATGCCAAGTTAACAACACCCCAAAAAGCGGAATCGGATCGCATAGCTGTGAATACCCATGTGATCAGATTCTAGTGCGAACCATAAAAAGAGTTCTGCACCTTTTTGGTGCGGTACGATTAGAGCCATACAAAATGTATGGCTCCAATCGCACCGCACATAAATCGCATGTGATTTGCGCAGGAATGCGGTGCGGTTCCTGTGCGAATCACATGCGATATACCGCACCGCATATATGTGAACCCAGGCTAAAGGTGGAGGTTAAAGCTCACTTAGTGCCTTACCGGCATTAAGTTTGCCTCAGAACCTGTGTAATTAATATGCGTTCGGTTTTAAAAGGGATGAGATGGCAATAGGGTTGCCACCTCATTCGGATCAGTGGCTGATTAAGATGGTAATTAAAGTGGTTCTAAAGATTCAAGGCTTTTTTTTACCATCATGCATTCTTTGCATGACAGTAAAAAAAACCTTCTTTGTGCAGCAGCCTCCCTAGCGCCCCCAGTCCTTACAGGAGCCCCCTCCAATACAACACAGGCTATTGTGAACATCGCTGGATGAGGACTCCCCCCTCCTCATTGGATGGTGGGTACCCACTGCTGTCAATTGCATCCAGTGAGCCAATGAGGAGAGAGCAGGTGGCGGGGCTGAGCCGCGGCTCTACGTATTTTATGGGCGCATAGAGCAGTGGCTCGGGAGTGAACAAATAGCAGTGCCCCCAGGGCAAACAGCTTTCCCTGGTGGCCCTGCTTGAGAGGGAGGAGCCAGAGCATCAACGGGGGAACCAAAAATAAGAGGATCAGAGCAGCTGTGTGTAAAACTACTGCACAGAGCAGATAAATTTCACATTTTTTTTTTTAAATAAAGGAATGCGCTAAAACCACAAACTATTCCTAATTTAGTGTAGAAACATTAGTGCAAAATATATATATATATATATATATATATATATATATATATATATATATATATATCTCAATTAATATAAAAAAATCAAAATTATGTGCAAAACTATTTTTTAGTGCATAAGTAATTGAAATAATTAAATTTGTGAATATACCGTATTTTTCGCTCCATAAGATGCATGCGCAGTGGGCACCCGGCTGTCACAGAAGCCAGCGCGGGAAGACTGTGCAGCGCTGGAGCGAGGACCAGGTAAGGCCCTGCAGGAGAGAACAGCTGAGCGGCTGGCCCGGTATTCTGACATGGTGGCGGCAGAAATACCGGACCGGTATTATATTCGCTCCATAAGACGCACTGGTATTTTCCCCCCTTTTTTGGGGGGAAAAAAGTGCGTCTTATGGAGCGAAAAATACGGTATATTCACGAATTTAATCATTTAAATTACTTATGCACTAAAAAATAGTTTTGCACATAATTTTGATATTAATTGAGAATAGATAAGATTTTAGAATATATATATATATATATATATATATATATATATATATATATATATATATATATATTATACACACATATACACACACACCGTATATATATATTTTGCACTAATGTTTCTACACTAAATTAGGAATAGTTTGTGGTTTTAGCGCATTCCTTTATTTAAGTTATAGCACTAAGAGTATCAGTTTAAATGTACTTAATATCTTATTTGCATTAAATTAGCCTCAGAATCTGCGTATTGTGTTCAGTTTTCAAGGGATGAGGTGGCAACTCTTATTGAAACTTGTCCGGTTTCCTGCTTTAATCACTCTATGGCCATTTTAACCCCTGGTGCACATATCCACGTTCCTACGGGCAATGGTTTGCGCGAGCACAAGAGCCCATTCATTTGAATGGACTCCCGTTGCCCGGGACCCTCAGGGGAAGAAGTCCCTGCACTTCTGAAAAAGCAGCCCGCACGGGAACCTCAGTTCCCAACACGGTTGCGATAGCCAGTGCGGGCGGCATGCCATTAGAATTAATGGCACCCACACGAGGGCCTGCATTCTTCTGTGTGGGTTGTGCGGCTGGATGGATTTTTGTGCGAATCCGCAGCAGCACCACCCGTACATTTGGGAACCTAGCCTAAGACAACATTCACAGATTCCTGCAATGCATAAAAACCATGTAACCCCGTGGCAGATGCGCATCCACCCACATCTTGCTAACACATGTGCCATGCATTTGGATGTGGTACAAGTTAAATAAGGGTCAGGGACTTCTTATACACATTTTGGTACTTGTCTGTTAATTCACCGGAGGGATAGATTATATATATATATATATATATATATATATATGTGTTTTATTTAAATAGATAAAAAAAATTAAATATATAGATAATTCTTTTTTAATAAATAGATATAAAAAAAAAAAAAAGTATAATTTTAATTTTTTTTATCTATTTAAATAAAAACACACACACATACACATTATATATATATATATATATATATATATATATATATATATATATATATATATATATATACACACACACACGGTGAACAGACAAGTACCGAGATTTTAGCATTTAGGGCAGCCAAAACCCTGTGTGTTCCATTGCACCTGCATGGTGTGAACAGAGCCTTAGATAGCTCACAACATAATTATCACACAAAGCATTAGTTTCAGAGGACAAAAAAAAAAAAAAAAACCCACACAGGGTTACTAAAATTAACATTTCCATTAAACAAGAAAACTAAACTCAGCAAAATATAGATTAAAAACCCACAAAGATTATTTAAAACCTGTATAAAACCACTTTAAATCCAGTTGAGATTTGTGAGCACAGCCTTAGCAGCATATTCTGATTTGCATACTTTACCTTTTGTTTTGAGTGAAATTAATTGGGGGAAAAATAAGGGATTAAAATAGATTTGCTGCTTGTAGTCATCCATAGAAAACAAGTCATGAGAAAGCCATATGGGTGCAACACAACAAAATGTTGTCTGTTTTTGGTTTTTTTTTTTTGCTTCAGGTTCTGTATTATGTCATACAAACTAACACCTTTTTTTTTTTTTTTTTTTTTTTTTTTCTCTCCCCTACAAACCAATTAGTACTCACTCCTTCAGCTGCAGCCATCTTGCTATCCCAGAGGATATCCTACAACAAGCCATCTGGTCCATATTTATATGTGGAACTGAACACCTTAAAGAAACAGAGCACTTTCTATGATTATACATTAGGCTTGCCACCTCATCCCTTTAAATATTGATTACACAGGTTTTGTGGCTGTTTAAAGTGGAATTAAATTCACTTAGTGCCTTATCTGCAATAAATTAACCTCAGAACCTGTGTAATTAATGTGTTCAGTTTTAAAGGGATGAGGCGGCAACCCTAGCATACATGCCAGCACACGGCACAGTTTTTCTTACTACATTAGAGTTGCCACCTCAATACCTTTAAAACTGAACACATATTATTTACACAGGTTCTGAGGTTAATTTAATGCAGATAAGGCACTATCTGAAAGCCGATTTTGTGAAGTCGCACAATTCCAAAATCAGGTGACCTACCGATTTCATTGCGATTTGCAAGACATTTGACACAGATGTCTATGCAAATCGCAACAAAAGTAGTGCATGCACTACTTTAAAAATCAGTGTGGCTCTGAATAATTTGGAACTGCACCGATATGTCCGCTCTAATAGCGGACAATAGGGTGCGACTTGATATGCGATTTGCAAGTCACAGGACATGCAAATCGCATGCCAAGTCGCACCCGATGTGACTGGGGGCTGAGTGAGTTTAATGACCACCTTCTTTAGCCACAGAACCTGTCTAGTTAACTGCTTCCCATTCGCCCTATAGCAGAAATACTGCTACAGAGCGGCTTGGGTGCGCGCAATCACATATATACGTATATATACATGATTTTGCCGTTTCGGGCAGGGGGCGGGCGCAAGCCTTGGTGGGCGCAGCCCCAGCTGTCAATCGCCAGGTCCCGGCCGGTGATTACTCGCTGGCACCCGGTGATCGACGAATATTACCGACGGGGTCTCCTGCACTCTGCTTTGTATGGCTCTGCATAGCACAGCCATGCAAAGCAGTGTGCTTACAGTTGAAAGCACACACATGGCATACTGTAAACAGTACGCAGTTAACTCATTGATCGCCCCACATGTTAACCCCTTCCTGCCCAGTACCATTAGTACAGTGTCAGTGCTTTTTATTTGCACTGATCACTGTATTGGTGTCACTGGGAATGTCAGTGACACCAAGTCATTTCCCTCCCAGTGTCAGAATGCCCACCGTAGTCCCGCAGTCTCGCTATAAGTCGCTGATCGCCGCCATTACTAGTAAAAAAAAAGTCCCAGTATATATACCGCCATTTGTAAATGCTATAACTTTCACGTAAACCAATTAATTTACACATTTTGGGATTTTTTTTAAC